ACTCGGCTGCCCGAGGCTGGAGGCTCCGCAGCCCCGCGGCCGTCGCGCACCCGGGCCGGGAAAGCCCCGGGACGCCCCACCGCGACGCGCTCTGGCGGCTTCGCGGGATTCCCTCGGCCCTTCTGCTTTCAGCTGCAGGGCTCTCCCGCCGCCCGCCCCCTACGCGACCTGACCCTGGGCTCGCTGCTTGACCCCGGGGAACTGGGGCGAGGACAGAGGGTTCCCGCATGATGGGGCCAGAAGGACTTTCCCGGGGAATGAGCTGTGGGGATAACTCGCAGCGCAGATAGGATCTGACTTTCCTCCGGGACCTCCAGCCCCGCTCACTCAGAGCCATCAATAGTCCCGAGTGACCCCTCTTTCTTGGGTTTGAGGGTAAAGCTGGGTCGGTGGCAGCCTGAATCCTTGCTTCCCACGGGGACACTATTCGCTGTTGCTTTCTTTCCTTTGCCTATCTACCAGAAAAAAAGAAAAAAAAAAAAAGTAGTGGGCCAGGTTCTTCCTTGGCGAGGCCGAAGAGTGGACATCCAGACTATCTCCGCTCTCAAGTCACAGTAAAGACAATGAACTTGAATAAAGTCACTGGGCCATACAGGTTCCTGATCCGTGTTCCTTGACGGGCACAAAATAAAGACAGCACAGTTACAGGGGCTTTCAGGAAAACAAAGTAGCTTCAAACACCTTTTCCAAAAGAATGCTGGCCATGACAAAATATCTAAAGCTGGGACTCCCTTCCGAATTTTTTTAGGCCAAGAAAAATGGCTGTTAAAGAAGGTCCAAATATACTCAGTTTAAAATATATACTGTGTAATCCTTGCTTTTGTTTTAGCCCTGATATGCACTGGGATGCGCTATCCTCTGGGGTCCTCTACACCTTCTACCCCTCTCCCCTCCCCCACAGGCCTTACCTTGTATAGAAGATTTTTATTTATTTATTTTGGAGGTGTCAGACGTCAGGTAGGATGTTTAGTATGGAAGTTGACCCATGTGACGCCATAGTCTTCCAGGAAGAACCTGCTCTGGCCCTTTGCTGTTCTCAGGGCTTCTCAAATATGAACACTAGGAAGAGGACACCCAGCTTCCCAAATCCTTATCGCCAGAAAAGCCCTGTTCCCAAGCTCCAGCTCAGCAATTCCTGGTACCTACAGGCAGTCCATTCCCTTCCCTCCATCCTTTCCATCCCCCCCCCCCGCACTGTTGACACACTTTCTGCACTTGCTTTTCACCACACACAACACTGACCATATCATTTTCCTATTCACAAATGTTCCATGGTTTCCCATTTCCTACCAGACAGCATCTGTGCACCTCTGTGCCATTGCCCGCATAAGTGTTGCTCCTTCTGAGATGGTTCCTCTTCAGGTTTCAGGCCCAATTCATTGCAGCCCTTCAAGGCCCACTTCAAACTCTGCCTCTTCCTTAACTCCCCCCTTTGGCATCCATAGCACAATATCCCAGCAATCTTTTTTGAAATTCATATATTACCATCTGCGTGCGATGGCTCACACCTGTAATCCCATCACTTTGGGAGACTGAGACAGGACGCTCTTTGAGGCCAGGAATTCAAGACCAGCCTGGGCAACATAGTAAGATCCTATCCCTACACAAATGTTTTTTTAAAAATTCGCTGATCATGGTGATGCATGCTTGCAGCCCCAGCTATGAAGGAGACTAAAGCAAGAAGATCTCTTGAGCCCAGGAATTCCACGCTGCAAAGAGTTATGACTATGCCACTGCCCTCTACCATGGGCAACAAAGTAAGACCCTATCTCAAATATAAATTTGTTTAAAGAAAGTTACCTTACATTTCCACTAGATTTTAGAAATTGGAATCTATTTGCCAAATATCTAAGTGGTCATTAGTCAAGAGAGTAAATTATCTGTTGGGTAAAACACAATGCTGCCACCTCCATTTCTGGGAATCAAGGTGCTAGGAGTAAGTTATCCATCAAGTCTGAGTTGTGTCTGTGAGCACACAATGACAAGAAAAAACAGTCTTTGGAGGGGGGGGGAAGCCTAATTTTGCTTACTAAATGACTCATAGGCCAAACAGGTTGCAGAGAAACATCCATGGTATGGAAATTGTTTGGAATAGAGGAGTTCTCCAGCTGCACATCTTGATTTCTGGATTCCTGCAGAGACTCTTGCATTGGTTATCATGATGTGGCTCCACCTCCTTTGTAAATTGGGTAATTTGTTTTTTTTATAGTTGTTCACCAAAGGAAAAATTAAAATGATCTAGCTGAAAAATCAGACCTGTTTTCACACTGCTCCTTAAATCATCCTTTGTTTACCTTTATTGATATTTACAGAAATGTTCTTTTTGCTTGTATTTTCATTTCTCAGAATCAACTTGAGATGTGATGACATTATATTACAGTAAAAGGGAGAAATATCTGTTTAGTATGTCAAAATGCTTCCTTCATAATGTTTGGTAAAATAAATAACTGCAACATAAATTTAACCTGTAATAGTCTCATGCATATCGGTAGATAGAATCTAGGTGAAAACTGTTGTTTACTCATATATCATATGCTGATGTATAGGAATATTTATGTATATATACACAAAATATTAAACATAATATGTTTTTGATTTTTTGTTGAATAGAGTATTTTACAGCATTTAATACAATCTGAATATCACTACTACCACACTTGAACTTACCAAATTGAAATTTGCACTGGCAAGCTGACTTGCAGAGAGTGTCTGTACAGATTAGAATAAAGTAGTAAGGGCTGGAGGATGAACATATTTTCAAACGCTAAAAGCAGAAAGGTAATAATTTACAAGCTTTTGGAGACTAAAGAGAGATTCATTTAATTCCTAAGGTAAATTATAAAAAGTGTATGGCATATTGTGCAAAACCAATTAAAACAAAAGTGAATTAAAAAAAAAAACAGTATTTTAAAATGATGTGAACTCCATTAAAGGAAATACATATAAATATATATGTAAATGTAGTGTATATGAGTGTGTATATTCTGGAAATATATAGTTTAGCAAGCTAAGAGTTATCTCTGAGTTGGGAGGCAGGCTTTGTTTTATTTGGTATAAACTGGTTACACAAAAAATGGATGGATATTAATCTCCTCAAACATCAGAACCACGAGGACACTACATTTTAATTATAAACTAAATATACTCACACAGATTGAAACTACACTTAAAATTTTTTTGATAAGGGTAAATACTATTATGTTGCTTATAGTCATATAGGAAAGCAGCCAGCGAAGGATAAATAAAACTTATCAAGTTCTCAAACTTAATGTGCCTTTTTTTCTTCTTCTACGTAAAAATATAGAAAAGCTTGGGCAATTTTGAGCTACTCACAGATTCTTAGCAGCTACTGAAATCCTACACTAGCACATTGCTGTGAAGGCTGAAAAATAAATGAGCTGTCAGTGTGTTCTTCATTGAGGAGATAAGTACTATCTCATTGATTCTTTAGTATTTAGTTGAGAAAGATTTGGCTATCCTTTGAAGATTTAAAGTAAAGAGATAAGCACCAAACTGACTGTATTTGTGTTTTCCTTTTTGTAGCTCTTGTTCTGAGCATCAACTTTTTGAAAAATGCCAGATACTTAAACACATTTTTTGCCATGTAATGGCGTAACTATAATATTGTGTTTGAATCCACCCTTAAACCTACTTCCAGTTATCATTAGTGGCTAAGCAGCCCAGTTTGTTCGTAGGACTCTGTGAGGTTTAGTTTAAGGAGTTTCTGGGGCTAGTGAACTGGAAATTTTAAAAATATGCCACTTAGGATCTGAAATTTAGCTACATTATTCCAATACATAGTGGAACAGGATTGGATTCCTAGTCAGATTTGAGTCATGTCTCTGACATATATTTTGACTGTGTAGTACCAAGTTAGTTTTACCAAGCCCCTACTACATGTCAGACATTGGCCTAAATTCTTTATAGACATTGGCTAATTGAAACGTTATCATAGTTCGCAAGCATAGATAATATTACTATTCTCCCAGCTAATAAAGGAGGTAACTGAACAAGAGCTAATTTAAATCATTGGCTCAGGATCATACTTAAATGACAATTGGAATTTGAGCTAAGACAGTGTGATTCCCCCTACTTTACTACACAATTGATTTCTGCGTATTTCACTAGATTGTCTTAAGTTCATGTGGGGGAATATTTTATAAATATTATGTTTAATTTTTAGGTATGAATGCAGATGTTGTCAAACACAATCTAACTAAAGGGAATAATTTGTTGCTTGTCATAAAGGGCAACAGAGGTAGGACAGATACCTTTTGTTTTTCCAACAGGTAGATTGATGCTGATCCACTCACAGGGCTCACTCGTTGT